AAGAGTTTTAAGACAGGGTATTAGGCACTTACAAAAATCACTGGAAAGTCTGGAAACACAAGTGTCAGAAGGCCGCCACCAGAACTACTGAGTTCAAAGACAGAACACCAGAGCCACAGCCGCTAATACTGGAGTATTTCCCATTATACAAATGAATTACAAACCTAGCTGGCTGCCATCTGTTATGATGTTTCTAACTCTATTGCACATAAAACTCTTGCAGAGATTTTTGAGAAATGTGTCATTCTGAATACCATGCCAAGCCTACTGCTGTTATTATGGTCAGCATACCTACCTTGGCTTTAGCAGTTAAATACTACTATTTGCCTTCTTCTATCTTAGCATCCCTATTGAAATCAGGAGCCCTGTCAATCAAAAGGTATTTTCTTCTTACCCCAGCACATGAATAAGAACAACAAACTGCTTTTTATACCTGTGCAGTTCTCAAGCCTCTGGTATAGGACTTATTTTCTAATCATTTCTTCCTTTTCCTAAGCAGGAGGAGAAAGTTGAGAATAGATGAGTGGTTCACTTTCTAGTGAAAATTCTATGTCTTAATATCATTTTCTAGATCCTAATTAGATATATGCCTACTAAACAACTACCTGTTATTTACCTAAATTAAAAAAAATTAATGCAATATCCATTACAAAGTGAAATAAGTATGTATGGAGAAAGTGGGAGTATTTTGTGCTTTCCTTTAAGTGTATCTCTTGATACATCTCTACTTTCTAAAACAAGCTGACATTTTCCAAGTGTGGTGGATTAAAAATGATCCAAAATTGTTCAAGGCTCCTTTCTTCAAGAGGTGGTCTATTTTCCACCCCTTAAATCTGAACCAGCCTTGTGTATTAGTCTGTTAAGGTTGTCATAACAAAATACCATAGACTGGGTGGCTTAACCAAAAAAAAATCATTTTTTCATAGTTCTGGAGGCTGGAAGTCCAAGATCAAGGCGTTAGCAGAGTTTGTTTCTGGCCACACTTTCACTGTGACATTTTCTCCATATATGCACATCCCTAGTCTCTTCGTCTTCTTATAAGAGCTCTGGTCCTATTGGATGATCTTCCCACCCTTATGATCTCATTTAACTGTGATTTAAAGGCCCTATCTGCTTTTAAGTTACATTAAGCCACATTCGAGGTTAGGGCATCAACATATGAATTTGGGGGGAATGCAGTTCAGACCAAAACACCTTGCAACTTGTTTGCCAATAGAAAGTTGCAGAAGTGATCATTTGTGACTACTAACAAGGCCTCGAGGAGCCTTTGCAGCTTCCTCCCACCTCCTTTGGAACCTCAATATTATGTGAAGAAGCCTGAGCCAGCCTGCTGGAGAGGCTTGTGGAGACCTGAGGCACCCCAATTGGTAACTCCAGCTAACTGTCCTCTAACTGCAATTGCAAGTAATCTAAGTCCGTGCCATGTGGAGCAGAAAGAGATAAGTTATTGCAGCTGAACCCTGAACAAACTGTTGCCTCAAGAACTGTGAACTAATAAATACTGTTATATTAAGCCACTAAATTTTGAGGTGGTTTTTATTCAATGACAGATAACTGGTACACCAAACCTTGTCTAATTTTCATTAGTTCTTCATGTTGTGTCCTTTTACTGTCATTTCAGTGAGATTTGGGAAAGATGTAGACCAAAAAGCATATTATCATTCAACATGTGTAATTAGAAATCATTTATAATAAGTTCTTGGAGGAGGGCATGGCAATCCACTCCAGTATTCTTGCCTGGAGAATCCTGTGGACAGAGAAGCCTGGTGGGCTACAGTCCATGGGATCGCAAAGAGTCAGAGATGACTGATGCGACTTAGAACAATTATATGTTATAGATAAGAAAAAAATGTTTAAAGAGGAATGACTTAAACACTTATTCCTATTTTATATGTAAACAAAGAGAAATAACGTATCAACCAATATGGTTGTTGATAATGTATGTAACTCCATGCAGCCCTGTAAAACAGGATATGATAACCCTGTGCAGGGACTGATAAAATGCCATTTAAACAAATACCATATATTAACACATACATGTAGAATCTGAAAAAAATGGGTGTAGATAATCTTATTTACAAAGCAGAAATAGAGACACAGACATAGAGAACAAATGTATAGATACCAAGAGGAAAGGAGGAAATGGGATGAATTGGGAGACTGGGATTGACATATATACAATAATGACACTATATATAAAATAGATAACTAATGAGAACCTACTCTGCAGCACAGGGAACTCTACTCAGGGCTCTGAGGTCTCCACCTAAATGGAAAGGAAATCTAAAAAAGGGGGGATAAAAGTATACAGTGACAGAGGAAGAGGTGGTTGGGTGGCATCGCCAACTCAATGGACACGAGTTTGAGCAAACTCCAGGAGATAGTGAAGGACAGGGAAGACCGGCATGCTGCATGTCATGGGGATGCAAAGAGTTGGACATGACTGAACAACAACAGCACAGTATATGTATGGCTGATTCACTTTGCTGTGCAGTAGAAACTAACACAACATTAGATGAATCAAAGACAGAATCAGGAGTTTTCCAGCCTGAATCAAAGACAGAATCAGGAGTTTTCCAGCCTGATTTAAAGTATATATCCAATACTCTTGGAGTTTCCGTTTAGGTCAGTCCTGATGTAGTGGTCCAAAAACCTAAAAGTTATTTTTGGGTCACTCTAAGGGTTCATGAAAGTGAAAATGTTAGTCGCTCAGTCATGTCCAACTCTGCCACCCGGGGGACTGTAGCCCTCCAGGCTCTTGTGTCCATGGCATTCTCCAGACAAGAATACAAGGGAGTGGGTTGCCAGTCCCATCTTCAGGGGATCTTCCCAACCCAGGGATTGAACTCAGGTCTCCCACATTGCAGGCAGATTCTTTACCATCTGAACTAACATATAAGGGTTCATACCTATTATAAAATGTTACAAACAATATTCCTAGAGCCACCCTACGTCCCAGCTCATCTTTCAAATAGAATCAGGCTCACGTGGTTTGAACTCTGTTCCAGGAACCATGCAGCAAATCCACCCTGGTGTGACCTGAAGCACCAGGGAAGGGCCAGATTTTAAGCTGGGTTCCCTGCACTGGGGAGTTTTATCCTTCCAGTTGCCGGCTGCTTCCACTGCAGATGTTTCCTTACCCTTTTGGTTATTTTCACCTTTCTTTCAGATCTCTTTATTCCCAAATGATTTTTATTCATCGTCTTCTGGTGTTTAAGTACCTACCACATCCATTTTCATGCTTTTCCTTTACTGTGCTATTTTTCATTCTCCTCTAAGCTCTCTCTCGCTGCCACATCTGCTTTCCTCCCTTCCATTTTTTCCACATTCAGTTATTCCACGCCATCCCAGCTGCTTTCCTTTGTTCAGTTCAGAACATTGGCCAGAAGCTTCCCTGTTGCTAAGTAACAACATCACCCACACACACTCTTTTACACTCTCAGCTCATTTCTTCTGCTGCTTTTAAAAGTGCATGGGTCAAACGGGCTCTCAAAGAAACATGAAGGCGCTTCATTCTTCTCTTCATACCCAGGGCATGCACACACACCCTTCCACCCTGGCCTCTTCTTACCAGATTTTGGCTTCTTGTTTTACCTGTTATCCATTCGATTCCTGGGTTGGGAAGATCCGCTGGAAAAGAGATAGGCTACCCACTCCAATATTCTTGGGCTTCCCTTGAGGCTCAGCTGGTAAAGAATCTGCCTGCAAGGCGGGAGACCTGGGTTTGATCCCTGGGTTTGAAAGTTCCCCTGGAGAAGGGAAAGGCTACCCACTCCAGTATTCTGGCCTGGAGAATTCCATGGACTGTATAGTCTATGAGGTCACAAAGAGTCACGACTGAGTGCCTTTCACTTCTCACTTTCACTTTATCTGTTAATTTGCCCCAGGCTGTGAGATAACACTAACACAGCAAAAACCATCCCTTTGAGCTAAGACAATTTATAGATGGGAGGAAGGAATATAGTGTCTGCTAAAGGGACACAAAATAGAAAATATTCAGACTAAATGTGTAACTAAATGTTACAAGGCATGGCCTTGGCTCATCAAATCCAGGTTTTAAGAACTTTCCACTAGGGATCAAGATAGCCAGCAAGTCCCTTTTACAGACCTTTATCTTGTTGAGTTTTGAGGAAGTTACCAATGGCGTGTTGAGTCTGGTTTGCACAAAATAAAAGATAAAAAGAACACAAGAGCTCATTAGGCAGTTTTTCAAATCTCAGTCCTTTCCCAGACATCAGTCTGACATACTACTTGTACCAAGGCACAACTGGAGTTGCATCAGCAGCCCTTCGCAGCGCGCTCTTAAGACACCCCAAGTCTTCTGGCGCATCTTAATTCTTTAATGGCAACGGTACCTCCATATGTCCAAACACTAGGACAGAGTAACAGAGATACCAGGACCTTGAAAAAATCTTCTTTTCCCCCTTGCAATGCCATAAATAATTTCCCTCCCTGGTGTGAATTCCTTCTCTCTCCTTGTGCATTGATGCAATGCCTAAGAAGCCTTCCCTGATTACCGTGCCCCACGTTGTTGCTCTCAGTCCTCTGCCCACGTTCAACACTGAACTAATTGAGGGGTACTGGGGCTGCTTTGTCTGTAAGTACCACAGCCTTTCACTCGCCGTGTGTCCTTGCTCCTCAGGTACGGCTCTCTGTGAGGGATGAACTCAGAGCCTGCGTGTAATGTATACTTGATCAGTTGGCTTACATTTAGTCACAGAACATAGGTACTCTGATAAGGGAGTTATTCTTAGTTTTTTTTTTTCTAGAGAAGAGAAAGAGCAATAGTTTTCTTTGTATTAAAGTCCAAATGTATCAGCACTCAGAGTACCAGCAATGAAATTTATGTATTTGCATCACTATCCAGATTTGCAGACTGAGCATTTCAGTAGAGAAAATTTTCAAGAGCCTTGTTTTGGCCCATTGGTTGATATTCTGAAAATGGAATCCCCATGAGCCTAAAATCCACTCCAAGATATTCTAAGAATGCCTGACCAGAACTGGAGTTGGCAAGCTACTATGATTTTCCTTCTAGAATGAAGCCCCTTTGGGATACTCTAACTTTTGAAAGGTTCAGAAAATTTTAATATGATTTTAGTTTTTATTTTAGGGTAATCTCGACTCATGAAATATATATATTTGAGCTTCCTGGAAGTTTTTATTTATTTACTGCTTAAACAGCTGAAAATTACAGATAATTTTTACTACTCTTCAATAGTCTCTCTTTTAACCCTCTTCTCTCCAACTTGAGGTAGCAGTCAACACCGTATGTCATATTAATTTCATTTCTTCACATCTCCATGTGTTTAAATCCTTTATCCCCTTCTGCCCCACTTCATCACCATTATAGGTCGTCCCACAGTAGCTCCTGTGACTGAAGACTGGTGCTCTGTCCCCATGTACAAGGACAGGGGATGGGAAAGGAGGAGGATGTTGAGAGAGTTCACTTTAAAAAAATATATATATCATTGTAGTATAGTTGGTTTACAGTGCCGTGTTAGTTTCCACTGTACTGCAAAGCGAATCAGCCATATGTATACATATATCACCTCTTTTTTGGATTTTCTTCCCATTTACGTCACCACAGAGTGTTGAGTAGAGTTCCCTGTGCTATACAGTAGGTTCTCACTAGTTGCCTATTTTGTACACGGTTAGTGTATATATGTTAATCCCAACCTTCCAATTCATCCCATCCACCCTCCCTTCCCCCTTGGTGTCCATATATTTGTTCTTTACACCTGTCTCTATTTTTGCTTTGCAAATAAGATGATTTGTGCCAGTTTTCCAGATTCCATATATGTGTGTTAATATACGATATTTGTTTTTCTCTTTCTGACTTCACTCTGTATGAGTCTCTAGATCCATCCATGTCTCTGCAAATGACACAATTTCATTCCTTTTTATAGTTGAGTGATACCTCATTTCTTTTAATTCCTCATTCTCTTTATTTTAAGAAGGAAACACCATAAGTCACTAAACTACTTCTTTCCATTAAACTTGACTTTTTATTACTACTAACAATACTCTGATAAGATGCATTGCATATATTTGTGTATACATATCCTGCAGGAGATGCGGGTTTGATTCCTGGTTCAGGAAGATCCCCTGGGGAAGGGATTGGACATTCCAGTATTCTTGCCTGGGGAAGCCCATGGACAGAGCAGCCTGGAGAACTCTGGTCCACGTGGTTACAAGGAGCTGGACATGACTGAGCGACTGGGCACACAGGCACTGGGTGTTTCCAAGGATACAGACTTAGAGTTGGAATTTCATGGGAAAAGGGCTTTATATTTTTGTTTTATGTATCTTGAAATAAATATAAATTTTATGTGTCAAGATGGACAACGTATATAAAAAGTTAATTAACAAAACAGCAACAAATAACCAATAAACACACAAAAATACTCAAACTTTTACTAGCAGGAAAATAAAAATTAAACAATGGGATATTACCTTATAGCTATTGAACTGGCAAACGTTAAAAAAACAAACAAACAAAAAAACCTATTACTGATGGAAATATGGGAGTAAATTGCCTTAGCTTTTCTTGGAAAGCAATCTAGCAATATCTATTAAAATGAAAATTATATATAGAGTTTGACCAACAAACTCATTCTTAGAATCCAACCCATAAAAAGAAAAGACCAAAAGGTCAGCATATATAAACAAAGATGCTTTGGGCAATAATTCATTTTTTTCTACAAATACTTGCTAAGTGCTATGTTGCCATCACTTCAGAAATGAATAAGACACAAGCCTGCCCTCAAGGTATTCACAGCCAAGACAGCTAAATACCCAAGAAATTGGAGTTCACAACAGAGGTGCTGAGGAAACAATTCAGGCCTGAGATGGAGGGCTGCAAAAACGTCACTGAAAAGTGCACTCACATAACTTGGTAAAATACAGCATGTTCCTAAGGCCTTGGATTAAGTTGAATGATCCAGGAGAGCTGAAAAGGATAAAGATAACTGGATATGGGGAAACATAACCCTAAACTGGACATGAAACAAAAGTCACAGGTAATCTAATTTTTCTAATGGCAGAGGAGACAGAATATGAAGTATACAATGGAAAAAGGACTTACTTGTTGTGATAGAATCAAAAGAGTCTATCATTAAATGGTAGCCAAAAATGCTGTATTGTTCTATGCCTGGTACAGAGTACACTCTTGAAAGGTATTTGTTGACCCAACAAAGATGGGAAGAGAATGCAAAAATGTTTAGCTCAGTGGTGATCATTTTGGAATGTACAGAATATAAAATCTATGTTGTATATTAGAAAGTAAGATGATGTTGTGGGTCAGTTACACTTCAAAACCAAACAAACTCAAAGAAAAAGAGATCAGATTGGTGATTACCAGAGTTGGGGGGGAAGGGGGAAGGGGGAAGTGGATAGGAAATTGGATGAAGGTGGTCAAAGGGTACAACTTCCAGCTATAAGATAAGTAAGTACTAGAGATGCAATGCGCCACATGGTAAATATAATTAACACTGCTGAAAGATATATACAAAAGTCCTTAAGAGTAACTCCTGAGTTCTCATCATCCTGTATCTGTATGAGATAACTGATGTTCACTAAATCTGTGATAATCATTTCATGATGTATGTAGGTCAAATCATGTTGTTGTTTTTTTTAATCATCATGTTGTATACCTAAAACTTATACAGTGCTGTGTGTCAATTATATCTCAATAAAACTGGAAGAAAAAAATGCGATGTTAGAATAAGTGTTTAAAATGCAAATGTTATTATTTCACCCTCTTTAATTAAAAAAATATGTATACAAGTGTTTAGCTCAGGGCTTCCCTTGGTGGCTCAGCGGTAAAGAATCCACTGCTAATGCAGGTGACAACGGGTATGATCCCTGATCTGGGAGGATCCCACATGTCGTAGAGTAACTAAGCCTGTGCATTGCAACTACAGGGCCTGTTCGCTAGAGCCTGGAAGCCACGACTACTGAAGGTTGCGCACCCTACAGTCCATGCTCCGGAGCAAGAGAAGCCTCTGCAATGAGAAGCCCATGCACCCCAACTAGAGAGTAGCTCCCCGCTCACCACAACTAGAAAGCCCTCACAGCAATGAAGACCCAGCACAGCGAAACATAAAAACAAATACATACATAAGATAGTTTGAGAGATCAAAGTTTGGCCTGCCTAAAACTGTGACCTGTATTTATATTAAAATAAAAATGTTTAGCTCAGATAAACTTAGGTTTAGTCAAGGATTCCACCTATTCATTAATCAGACTTTTCCTTAAGTAGATTTTCCTTCTCTCTCTCCCTTCCTCCTCTCTTTCCTTCCATCCTTCCATTCTTTCACCATTTTTCAGACGGAAAGTCTCCAGCCAAATTGAAATTCTAAATCCTGTTAACCTCAGTTTGACCCTGTTATTTCACCATTTAACAATGAGACAAAATCATCAGTTCTTAAATCAGGAAACTTCAATGCCAAAACTGCATTGAACAGTTTTTAAAGGATACATTTTTTTTTTCCATAGGAAAAGAACATCTAACATGAGGAAAAAACAAACCAGACAGACAGCTCATTAGAAGCTCATTATGACAACCGAGATAACGCCAGTCACGACTTCAGGAAGGAGCGTCCAGACTGTGGAGAAATAGAAGAAACACATCCAGAAAGCAGGTACATTTTCTCCCTCATGACGGTCATTAAAGGAAAAGACACGTGCGTGGGTTCAGCTGGAAGGCCGGGACCTCCATGGAATCATGCAAACGTTTCCAGGATCCAAGTCCTGCTTGGCAAGGCTCCCATATCAACAGTGACACAACTGCATAGCAACCCACGTATGCCCATCTCTCACCCCTACTGCCTGTCTGGGGAAACCACCCCTACTATTCGCTGTCTGCTCCATAAATTTTGTCAAACAGGAGTTGAGTCTATACGCCAAGTTGAGAGCAACACAGGCTGGCATTTCCCAGCACATGCTGTTCACCACGTGGGTTTCTGGAGCGGTGCCTCTCGGCTTCAGAGGCACTAGAGTCCCTCTCTCCGCCCCCATTTCCTCTCACAAAGACAACACGCAATAACCCTTAGCACATGTGTGTGTGTGTGTGTGAGAGAGAGAGAGAGAGAGTTCCCAACTGGCCAAGTACCTTTTGATCTGGTGACCTGTATTATGAATATCAGGAAAGAGCTTCCAGTTTATTTTTTTTTCATTCTCAGGAGTACACAGAGTCCACAGTAAGAGCAGAATAACAGCCTCTAAAACAAAGAAAACCCACTCTAAATGTGGCTCTGCTAGACCCATTTGCCATCTGTTTATTTCCTCTGCTTATATCAGGGACTCCAGGAAAGGCACCAACGTGCAAACCCAGACCAGAGTACTTTTCCTCTTTCCGAGAGGGTATTTCCTTGAACTTTCCCAATTGCCTCTGAGTAAGATGTAGAAAATATTACTTATAAAATAAGACTAGCAAATGACTCACAGTGATTAAAAATAAATCAGGGTGCAATTTGCCATCTCAAAGAGAAATAAGGTAAAACGCTCCACAATTGGAGATGCAACTCACTTTTTCAAACCTCCTCAAGGAACCTCTCCAAACGATAGGCAGGAAATGGGTGTGTGTGGGGTTCAGTTCTGCTCAAGAACACTCAAGTGGCAGCCTCGTCATACATATTCATGAGAGGCAACCTGAGCTCCGGTGTGAAACCACAGCACAACCGTGTTTCCTGCACACACTTCGCAGCCCACACTGCCAGGAAATGCTGTAACGCTGAAGAGACCAAGGGCCCTGGTTTATAACATGGTTCAGAATGACAAGTGTTCATTGCCGCCTTAACCCACACATGTGACTGGATTTTCTCCATCTCCTTTTGACAGCTCAAGAAGTATCCATCTGCCAGGATGCATTTTAGAGCCCTCATTGTCAAATGTGAATTTCAAGGCTTTGTCTAATAAGCAAAAAGGAATAAGGTTATTTATTTTCAGTAGAGCCTTGGGCATTTATTATTAATACTCTAATGGAGAAATAGGTCAGTAGAGCATACACAGGAAGGTAATTATCCTCTACACATTGCTCCTTTTCTCAACAGATTTTCTACAGCAAAATACCCAGAGTCAGCTTCACCTGGCAGAAAACATGAACCAAGGGCTTTGTTCCAGTGCAGTTTGGAGAGGCATATACTGGATTTTTCATTCAGTCAACAAGTAGTAATTGGAGAGTAAATGAACACTGTTCTAAGCACTTGGAAAACTGCAATGAACAAAAGAGATAAAAGTTCTTCCATCATGAAGCTGTGACAGTTTATTGCCATGTTCCAGAGAGAAAGAACATCTTGCTGTGTACCTGTCATAGAAGATTCTGGAACTTTGAGTTCACTGTCTTTCAAATGCCCTTGATGACTCTGTGGATGAAGAGGTTAGTATGTGTGTCCATGTGTGCTGTGTGAAAGAGAGAAGAAAAGAAACAGGAAAAGAAAGCAACATTGAAACAGAATAAACCAAGAGAGAAACTATGTTTTAAAAGTAATAGGTTTACCTTTATGATCTAGTGAAAACACAGAAGACAGTAGTACTGAGAAAAAAAATAGACACACAAAGGAGCACTGGAACAGATGGGGAGACCTGCTATTCTTTGTGTTTGGAAGATACAAAATATCAACTCTCCCTGACAATCTATAAATCTGACATCAGATCCCCAAAACTTCATAATGATGTTTTGAACTAGATAAGCCGATTTTCAAGGAAGAGGAAAAATCTGGGTTGGGGGAATGGTAAGCTCTATCAGATAGTGAAATACAAAGTGTCAATAACTAAGACCACAGTACTAATTCATAAGTAAACAGACAGAACAATGGAACTGAAAGAATGCCCAGAAAGAGTTCCAAATGCATATGGGAATATAACGTCTAATCAACACGGCTCATTGCTCAGGGCTCTGTCTGCCTCACCACCATTGTCAACCACACTGCTGGTCTTTTGCCTCTTTCTCGTTAGTAAGAGGCTCAGTGCTAACCAGAAGCCCCTGGCACAGAACGGCTCAGGATTAGGACAGAGTGCAGGATTTAGATGGTAAGAAGCTGAGTAACCATTCTGTTCTACCGCTTGTGGTTTGATGAACTTGAATTTGGAACTTAAGTGCGCTGAGCTTTGGTTTCATTGTTGATAATGGAAAAATAACAAAATCCATATCAAAGAATCATTGTGAGGGTAAAATAAGTCAATACATATTAATCTACCTAACAAATTCTGGTACTGAAAAAAATGAAAATATCCGAGTTGAATAGCTTAGTATGCACCTTAACTGGGTTAACTTAATAGGCACCAACTCTGGGTTGATTGTTTAAAAACTTGTCTGTCTGCGGACAGAAATTGCTTTCTAAAAATCTCAAATCTCTCTTTGCTACACACAACATTAAATAAATCAGTTTTGGAATAAAAAATTATCTTTAGACTCAATGATTTCCTTACAGAAAAAATTCTTTACAAAGGAGATACATTGTTCAATGGATCAATTCACTCCAGTCAAAGAAATTTCATTACATAGCACATGCAAGGACATTTTGATTTCAAACTTTGTAAGGAAAGGATGGAATTTTTCAAAATGTTCCTGGACTGAGATGGGATTAGTGGGAACCTGTCTTGTGTGTAAGGACTGCCCAATGCCCAGTCCCTAACACAAGAAGCTTGAGCAATTTATGTACAAGGTAGAAATACAAACACAATGGCACATAAATGTTTAATTCAGCTTTTCATTGTATTGTGTATCAGTGCCTAAGGGATAAGAAGATAATGAAGAAAGTTGTGGGAATGGAAAACATGGAAACCACGTCTCTAGTCTTGAACACTGTTAGAAAGGGACGAAATGGCATCTCTTGGTGGGAGGTGCCAAGCTGAATGGTCTATGGGTACATCAGAGGTGGAAGGGGTTGAAGGGAAGGACAGTAAGGGGTCTGATGAGCACAGTAAGGGCCTTATAAGACAATAAGTTGAGTCCTACAGTGATAGAACACTTGTGGCAGAACTGTAATGTAATTTGGTCAGGCAAATGATGAAAATGCTTGTTTCTGGCCGGAATGGTTTGTATAAGGAAGAAACTAAAAGTGGGAGATTAAAGATTATTTCCCATGTCTAGATGCAAGGCTTCAGCCCAACCTAGCCTGTCCCCGCTGGGAATGGAGACAGCGTACGGCTTCAAGAAGCCCTGTAGAGCAAGGATGCTTATAACTGGTGATTGCCGGGACAATCTGATAGAAAAGGAAAAATTTGACCAAGTTAGGAACATAGAAAGCTGGCAGGAGAATGGAGCCACTGACAACACTAGGGAGCTTCCAATCTGATGAGGGATCTTAAGGAGAACAGGGAGGGAAATAAGCTGATTTTAACTGTGTTTAGGTTTAGGTGGCATACAACCAACATGTGATCCGTACTCTATCAGAAGAAAAAAAACAATCAAAACTTGAAATATAAAAATTTCAGAATTATTAGCAAAAGAATATTGTGCTGATTTTTCATCATGAGGCTAACTGTTTTTTCCCTATTACATATGCACAAAAAGTTATGGCTATTGCTGACCTATATCTTGTTTAAGGAAAATGTATCTGTTACAGATACAAATAAAAGAGTCTTTAATCCCATTCCCTCTTTGATAGAAAAAATTGCAGAGGAACACGTTTTTGGCAAACTCGCTGAGAAGGGAAACAATTCACGCAACATCATCACCTCCACCATCTGTCTTGCTCCCAAGTTCACCAGCTGCTAGATTAACACGTTTCCTATAAGTCATCATTTTGGTCCTCTCTGGGACACTGGTCAATAAATAGGTGAGATGTTTCTAGGTCACCATGTGACATGAAGGTCAGTGTTGGGGCCAGAGTTGGCTCTGGTGGAAATACAGGCTGTTTACTGTCCGTGTATGTCACAACATTACATAAGAAAACCGACATCATTATCTTATCATTCATACCTTGTTTTATTATAACTGGTTTGATTGATTATTCTTGCAACTCACCAGGTTTGATTTTGAATAATCTTGAGGTGTGCCCTCACCCCAAGACAAGTTCTCAATGGATTTTTTTTTAATTTGAGAATTTTTAAAAGAATATATTTGCAAACACTTTAAACAACAGAACATTATGTATCCTAATGAGAACCCCTACATAGGAAATAGGTGATTGTTATAAAGGTCTCTCTCATCCCATTTAATATTTCAGCAATTAATGGGAAATATGTCATTCTTTATGAACCTCTGAGGTGTCTATGGAGATGAAAGCAAGTCCAAAAGAGAACCTAGCCTCTGCTGAGCACCAGAGGAAGAGTATGGCTGCCCAGTGGGACTGCATATGAGTGGACACTACATGTGATCTGATGTGCTTTTAAATATAGGAGCAACCTTGTGATACATAGGAGCACAGGCTTTGGGGTCAGATAGACCTGGGTCTGAATCCTGCTGTATCATCAACAGATTATTAGTCTCAAGACTCTGCTTAAATGTCTATGAAATGGATATAATACTCTTCTTGAAATGTTGTTACAGGAGGAAAAAGAGGCAATGTGTATAAACAGCTAGAACAGTACCTAATATATAGTGAGTGCTTAAAAGTGGTAGGTGATAATAATAATTATTATTATAGTAGTGACAACAATAATAATTACCTTACTTTATAGAGTATAATCACCATACTTTATAGAGTAATTAAGAAAGCAGCCTATTGGTAATAAGTTCACCTTTGGCTAGTCTGACCTGAAATAGAATTTCTAGCTCTCCTAACAGAAGTAGTGTCAGCAGGCAAGGTGTTAAGGAATCAAAGTGCCACCCCAGGGTATGTTGTTCTTCAGTTGCTCAATCATGTCCAACTCTTCACAACCCCATGGACTGCACCATGCCAGGCTTCCCTGTCCTTCACCATCTCCCAGAGCTTGCTCAAGCTCACGTCTATTGAGTCAGTGATGCCATTCAACCATCTCATTTTCTGTAGCCCCCTTTTCCTCCTGCCTTCAATCTATCCCAGCATCAGGGTCTTTTCCAACGAGTCAGCTTTTCACATCAGGTGGCCAAAGTATTGGAGCTCCAGCTTCAGCATAGTCCTTCCAGTGAATATTCAGGATTTGATTCCCTTTAGGATTGACTGGTTGGATCTCCTTGCAGTCCAAAGGACTCTCAAGAGTCTTCTCCAGCACCACAGCTCAAAAGCATCAATTCTTCAATGTTCAGCCTTCTTATGGTCCAACTCTCACATCCATACATGACTACTGGTAAAACCATAGCTTTGACTAGATGGACCTTTGTCGGCAAAGTAATGTCTCTTCTTTTTAATACACTGTCTAGGTTGGTCATAGCTTTTCTTCCAAGGAGCAAGCATCTTTTAATTTCACGGCTGCAGTCACCATCTGCAGTGATTTTGGAGTCCAAAAAAATAAAATCTGTCACTGTTTCCATTGTTCCCCCAGCTATTTGCCATGAAGTGATGGGACTGGATCTTCATTTTTTGAATGTTGAGTTTTAAGCCAGCTTTTTCACTCTCCTCTTTCACCTTCATCAAGAGGCTCTTTAGTTCCTCTTCACTTTCTGCCATAAAGGTGGTGTCTTCTGCATACCTGAGGTTATATGACCCTCAATGTTTACCTTGAGCAGAGTACCTACGATTTTAGTTAGAAGACCTCACCAGTAAACTAAGCTCTCTTCCTTCTGTCAGGATTGTGGAACCTTCTATAGAATAGACATTGTTTTAAGAATCTCCAGGGAAACAGATTCCATTACTTCCCTCAATAACCTATTTCAGTGTTTAGATACTGTTTCCCTTGGTAAATCTTCAGAACTCACCTAAATCCTTTGTGCTCTAGTTTTTAGTCTGATCATTTCACATTTAATTCAGATATTACTGATACTCGTATTGGTATTGAACCAAGTGACAGCTAGAAATACACACATATGTGTGAACATGAGCATTCGGTGACAGCCTTATCAACTACAATGAGTTAACTTGCAGAAGAGTGTTGCACCATAAAAGTGATCGGAAACACATTAGCAGTGTTTGCTTAAAGTCACAGCCCAAGTTCCTCCTCGACAGTTATCACACACAGGCTCAGGTGACATGAATCCGAGTGAGCAGCATTTAAAAGAATCCCAAGATGAAAGGAACTGTCCTCCGAATTGTGTCTGCCGAGTGTACTGCATCCCAGGGCGTAGGTTCACTCTCTGGAAGCTGCCCCTTCCCACCCACCTTCTGAGAGGTCTCAGCCTTTTGCATTGTGTCCAGGATTAATCTAACAGCCACAAAAACAACAACCGCCTGAAGTCATCATTAGGGTGGAGACGATTTTCTTTACCTTTAAGTGTCAGAAGCTCCAGCCTGGGGGCCGCTGCTTTGCTCAGTGGATTAGGAACGCAGTGCTACAGGGTTTCTCCAGGGACCTGGAGCCGTAAAGAATCCGCTGGCCAAACAGGAGACACCGGAGACTTGGGTTTGATCCCTGAGTCGGGAAGCTCCCCTGGAGAAGGAAATGGCAACCCACTTGTGTATTCTTGCCTGGAGAATCCCCTGGACAGAGGAGCTTGGTGGGCTACAGTCCATGGAGTCGCAGAGAGTTGGACACAACTGAGCAGCTAAACAACCATGACAAAGGCTCACTCAAGCTGGACGACAGCATCTGCCTGGTGCCTTCCTTGCAGAAACAGGCGAGCTGCCCAGGACCCTAAACAGTTGACATTTAGACTCAGAGTTCCTGAAGAGTATTTTTATGAAACATGATATGCCCTCCTCCCTGCTCAAGGTGATAAAAAATATTCAGAAAATATGGATTGACCAGGAACTAAGGAAGCATAAGCTTTAGTTGTGTGGGTTCCATTCAAAACTGTAGCTACACCTAACTTACATTCATGATTTTGTGTTGTGTGGACCACAATTCCCTGGACTGCTCCGAGAACCACTTCCCTCTTCTGTGTAACAAGATTAATAATATCTCCCCCACATCTAGTGGTTCCTTAAAACAGCTGCCAGAAAGAGCTTCAGGATCCCACCAAATCTGGATCCCACTCCTGACTTCCTACCATACTCCTCTTTGGGAGACTTATAAAAACTATTAGTTTATTAAGCTCATCAAATCCTGAAGGAAAGACTTCTGCTTAATTTTACTTAATCTGAAGTGACAGACTTTATTTTCTTGGTCTCCAAAATCACTGCAGATGGTGACTGTAGCCATGAAATTAAAAGTCACTTGCTCCTTGGAAGAAAAGTTATGACAAACCTAGACAGTGTATTAAAAATCAGAGACATCACTTTGCCAACTAAGGTCCATTTAGTCAAAGCTATGATTTTTCCAGTAGTCATGTACAGATGTGAGAGTTGAACCATAAAAAAGGCTGAGCATTGAAAAATTGATGCTTTTGAACTGTG